GCAATGATGGTGCCAACTTGGACCAGTGAAGCAATGTCCTCCACAACTAGACTGAAGAACAAAACGACAGCAACTTGTCTGTTCCCCTTCCCCCAATTCCCCAGCACTGTTCCCAACACCCCAATTCCCCAATAAAAAAAATAAATAAAATTTTTTAAAAAGTATCTTCTCCAAACACAATGAAATTAAGCTAGAAATCTTAGAGGTAAGGTCCCAAGTTTCTGGTAAATTTTCAGAATGGAGAATTAAAAATTCTGAAATACATGAAAATTAAACAAAACATTCTTAAGCAATTAATAGGTCAAAAAAGAAATTATAAGAGCAATTTAAAATATTTGGAAATGAGTCCAAATGAAACATAACATGCCAAACCTTTAGGATTTATCCAAAGCAGGACTCATAAGGAAGTTTATATCTATAAATGCCTACATTAAGAAAGACATAAAATCAATAAATAATCTCACTTTACATCTCAAAGAACCAAAGAAAGAAAATTAAGCACAAAGCTCACACAAGGAACAAAATAATAAAGATTAGAGTGGAGATAAATAAAATACAGAAGAGGAAAACCATGAAAAGAATAAAAGAAACCAAAATTGCCACTTTGAAAAGATCAACAACATATTGTACTTAAAAAACCTTTAGCTAGACTAAAAAAATGGGGTGGAGGGAGATGGAAAAAAAAAATCAGAAATGAAAATGGAGGCATTAATACTGACCTCAGAGAAATAAAAAGAACTACAGGTGAATACGATAAACAGTAAACCAAAAAACAGGTAACCTAAATCAAATGGAAAAATTCCTAGAAACACACAAATTGAAAAAACTGCCTCAAGAAGAAACAGAAAATCAGAACAGATCTATAATTAGTAAGAAAATTCAGTAATCAAAACCTCCAACACAGAAGCATCCAGGACTACATGGCTTCACTGAATTCTACAAAATATTTTTTTTAAAAATTAATACTAAATCCTTCTGAAATCCTTCCAGAAAATAGAAGGGGAGGGAACACCTTCTAACTCATTCTCTGAAGCCAGTATTACCCTGATACCAAAGCCAGGCAAAGACATCACAAGAAAACTAGACGCTCATATCCCTTATGAATGAATACAAATACAAAAATCCTCAACAAAATATTGCCAAACTAAGTTCAACAGCCGATTAAAAAAATTAGGCATCATGACCAGGTAGGATTTAACCCAGGAACTCAACAGTGGCTATACATAAGAAAAATAATAAAACATTATCAATAGAATGAAAAAAACCACGATTATCTCAGATGCAGAAAAAGCACCTCATGCTCCTTTAATCAGATGCCTTTACAACTGTCCACTTTCTTCAAACCTAGCATAAAAATACTCAGGTCTAAGTAATCTTTGGGTCTTCATTTCCTTATGAAGGCTCCCATGTCTATATAAAGTATATTAAATAAATCTGCATCCTTTTCTCTCGTGACTTTGTTAGTTAATTTTCAGACTCAAGCAGGGAGTCAGACTAAGGGGGTCCAGGAAAACTTTTTCTCCCCTATAGCTCAAAAACAGTAAACTAAATGGGAAAGAAATTTAACAAAAGAGGTGTAAAACTTATACTCTGAAAACTATAAAACATTGCTGAAGTAATGAAAACATTTCATTATTAATGAAATGGAAAGGCATCCAATATTAATGGATTGGAAGACTTAACATTGTTTAGATGTCAGTACCCCAAAAAATGATCTACAGATTCAACACAATCCTTATCAAATCCATGCTGAGTTTTTGTAGAAATGGACAAGATGCTCCCATAATTTACAAAGAAATTCAACAGACTCAGAATATCTAAAACAACCTTGAAACAGAAAAACAAAACTGGAAGAGTCACACTTTCTGATTTCAAATTTTACTACCAAGATATAGTAATCAAGACACTGTGTATTGGCAGGTTAGTCATATAGATTAAAGGGAACACAATTAAAGAGTCTAGAAATAAATCCTTACATTTATGGTAAACTCATTTTGACAAGGGTGATAAAATCATTTGGTGGAGAAAGTGGAGTTTTTGTCAACAAATGGTGCAAAGACAACTGAATAATCTCATGTAAAAAAATGAAGTTGGACCCCCTATCTCACACCATACACAAACATTAACTCAAATGGATCAGAAACCTAAATACAGGAGGTCAAAGTACAAAATTCTAACACAACTATATAGGAATATATCTTTGTATCCTTGAGTTAGGCAAAGACTTGAGTGTTTAATGCAACAAAATAAAAAATAAATAAATTGGACTTCATCAAAATTAAAAATATTTGGGGCCGGCCGAGTGGCGTGATGGTTAAGAACTCGCTTGGGATGCCAGAGGGCCCCGGTTCAGATGCCACATATGAGGGCCAGTGACACTGCCCTCTACAGCTAAGATGCTGAACAACGGCTCAACCTGGAGCTGGGCTTCTGTGAGTCGCCGGCGACGGCGTGGGCTGCAGCCCCTGTGGCAGTTGGTTGCCATGGGCTACCGTGTGTAGCCAGCAGCCAGCGTGAGCGGCCAGCAGCCAGCGTGAGCGGCCAGCAGCCGCAGTGAGCGGCCGTCCAGAAGCCGGCGACTGATCTGCCTCACCCGGGAAGAGCGCAAACGTCCTCCACAACTAGACTGAAGAACAAAATGACAGCAACTTGTCTGTTCCCCTTCCCCCAATTCCCCAGCACTGTTCCCATCCCCCCAATTCACCAATAAAAATCTTAAAAAAAAAAATGGAATTAAAAAAAAAAGAAATTTTTTAAACATTTGTACTTCAAAGGATACCAATTGAAAATATTTTATCTCATAAGACTTATATCAATAATACATAAACAACTCTTACAACTCAATAATGATTAAGACAACTCAATCTAAAAATGTGCAAAAAATCTTAATAGACATTTCTTCAAAAAACATACAGCCAATTAGCACATGAAAAAAATGTTCAACATCATTAGCAATTAGGGAAATGCAAATCAAAACCACAGTAAGGTACCAGTTTACACCCATTAGGATGGCTATAATCAAAAGGACAGATGAGTGTTGCTAAGGATACAGATAAACTGGGAACCTCATACACTGCTGGTAGGAATATAAAATGGTACAGCTGCTTTGGAAAAGTCTGGCAATTCCTCAAAACATTAAACAGAGTTACCATATTAGACAACAATCCTGCTCTTAGGTATATACCCAAATAATTTAAAACTTATTGTCCACACAAAATATTGTCCATGACAATTCACAGCATTATTCATTTAGCCCCAAAGTAAAAACAAACCAAACATTCATCATCTGATAAATGGACAAAATGCAGTATATCCATACAATGGAATATTATTGGGCAATAAAAAATAATGACATCCTAATTAGTGCTATTCCATGGATGAACCTTGAAAATATCATGCAATGTTAAAGAAACCAGATAGAAAAGGCCATCTATTAAATGGTTCCATGTATATGAAATGCTCAAAAAAGACAAATTCTTAGAAATATCAATTAGTTGTTGCCAGGCAAAGGGGAGAGGGAGGGAACGAGGAGTGACTGCTAATGGGTATAGGGTTTCTTTTTTAGGGTGTAAAAATGTTCTAGAATTAAACAGTGGCAGTTGTTGTACAACCTGATAAATATACCAAGGTAATTCAGTATAATACAGTGTCACAAATGAACTGTACGCTTTAATGGATGAGTGTATGATATGTGAATTCGTATCTCAATAAGGCTATTTTTAAAAACAAAGATAAAATAAAGATATTCCAAGATAAACAACCAAATTGTTAATGCCGTTTGTTTTCATATGGTGTGATTGCTGAGATTCATGTATTATCCTTTAGTGTCTTTCTGTGTCTCCTCAGCACGCAGTTTTCTATTGAACATGTATTATTTTAATATTCACAAAGCATATATATTATTGAAAAAAATCTAAGATCCTAAAAATACAAAAGGATACATTAAACCATAGTATTGTTTAGAAAATACTATAAGGTTATAATCTAACTTCCAATTTCACAGTGAAATTTTTTATTATAGATGAAAACAAATTAATACTTACTTAATTGCTTGTGCTCCTGGTCTTTGCACAATCCAAGTACTAAATTCTTCTACTACAATATCTAACAGCTGAGGTTTTTGTTGTTTTTCTCTTAAAACAATAGACATACTTTTCAAATGAACGTAACACTTCATGGCTTCAAACTAGAGTATATTCAGAGAAATATAAAATTAAAATATATACATACACACTCACACACATAAATACAATAAGTATTCTTTTCATATCCTATTCATATAGTTTATTCTTTCCAAAAACCAGAAAATATTTCAAAAGCAACCCTTTATAGATTAATAAAGAATCACCACATAACACTAAAAAGTAAGGAACAATATTTATCCCTGTCTTGGAAATTGAAGTAAATGGAATACTAACAGACCTTGAAACAGATCAGAGAACAAGTCAGTTAACACACGAGTATTTCTGAAAGGATTAGAAATGGGCATCTCTATCATTAAACTGTGAGGTATAACAAGGCAAGAACTCACTGTTTTTGGCAAGGTTGGATCAACTGCTGTTTCACTATAGCCAATTGCTTCATAGAGTGAAGTTTTTTCTTCAAGTGTCAACATTTCTTCAAGACCTACAAATCATCAAGAAGTGTTTTGTGTTTTTAACTAGTTACATGATAAAACTAACCCATAATTTAGTTATCTTTAATAAATTAAATGCCAATTTTACTCCTTTTATAACACTTTTAAGAAAACATAATCATAAAATGTTAGAATGGCACAGGCAATTTTAGGATTATTCTCAAAATATATAAATTGTTAAATATACAAATTTAGCCACATAAATTTCTAAATATTTGTATTAAGCAAGAGCTTACAAAATAGTTAACTGTATTAGGTACTTAACGGCACTATGCTAGGCAATATACTGTATGTAGTATTAATATCGTAATTTCCCCCCATTTTACAAATGTTAAAATTGAGGTTCAAAGAACTTAAATAATTTACCAGGGTCAAGTGTTAATATGTGATAGAGCCAGGATGTAAAATTTGATTAGGAAACAAAAATATTTCCGAGAAATAATTCCAACAATAATTTACAATGGTTTATACCCTTTTAGAATTTTTATTTATCTATTATTGTGCTATATGTATTTACTAAATCCCCCGGGTATAGAGCTGTTTTGTAAACACTAGTAAGATAAAAAAAATTTTTAGTTTTTACTTGACATACTTACAATGTTTTAATAGTAATTTTATTGATAAATTGTGTATCATATACATATATACTTACAATGAAAACGAATTCTCTGCAAAGCTTAATTTTCATACCTGATGATTAGCTACACTACCATGACCTTATGATTAACTGGACAACTATAAAATAAAATGGACATACTTCCAGGTTTCACGTCTGGCTGCTGTTCTTTAGCATCTGGTTCTGACCAAGTCCACAACCAGCTAAACCATCCTTTATTATCCTCTGAATCTTTTGATCCATCTCTGTAAATCTTGTATCCAGCTTTCTTTACCTAAAGTAAATTTTCAAATAAATGAAAAATTATCTTTCAACAATATAAATAGAATGCTGATATTACCATAATTTGTCTACTTGAGTGAATCAATATAATCAATATACATATTGACAACAGAATACAGTAACCGTAGCATTAACCAAACATAAGAACTTAGAGTTATCAGGTAGTTAGTCCCCCAAAAAACTGGATTTCAGCTTCACATGAACTCTGAGTACTCGATAAGCCCAATTATTTAGAAAGAATGTATTTCCCATAGAACCTGTCTGATTTAAATTGGCAAAACATTAAATCAAATTTTCTTACAACACAAAGAATCAAATTTGAACCCCTTTTAGGAAATGGTATATTACAGCACAATACTAGTAACATCACAGCACCTGTCAAATTTATATGGAACCTAGATTTATTTTTACTAGTTGAAAGATAATCTGGAATTACCTCAACTTCTGCCTGTTGTCTCACTATAGTTATATTAAATACATCCAGAGTTTTTTCCAACTCCTAAAAATATAAAGAAAAATGTGTTTACATAAATAACTATATACAAAAAACCTTAGTATATAATACATAAAATTGATGCACTAAAGAAAAGATATAAAGGAGGTAGAAAACAGATCATTCATCAACATAATATTCTTATTAAATCCTGAGAAGCAATGCTTGCATATATGTCAGCTTGGGAATTACTAATGATGAAGTAACTTTCTGAACAAAGAAATCATACATGTCATGCATATAAACGTTACAACTCTACAAAATTTACAGACACATACTAGAAGATACTATACATGCATTGTTCAAAATGAATTTTATTTAGGTTTAACAACAGCGAAGGATAAACTCATTAGTGTCACTTTCAACTAAAAACAAAATTATAAATCCTTATTATGTGTACAATCGTCATTAAAATATTATAAGCAGATCTAGATACACTTAAAACTTGTTTTTATATTTTAAACTTTTCCAAGTTATAGTTATTGAAATAAACTGAGATAAGCTAAATCTTTCATCACATCTCTACACATTATGTCCATGATTAGTTTTGAGAGTTTCATGCTCAAACAGCAATTTTTCCCCAAAGAGAAGCAACCATGACCTAGTATTATCTAGAAAACAACTAAACTCCGTGTTCTATTGTCCAGCAGACTTGGAGGATTCAGGTTAAGATCCAAAGCTTAGTATGGAAATCTGTAACCACTCAAATAGTCTCTAAAAACTTAACTGTTTCAATAGTACAGGCCTTCAGAAAGCCTCCTACCTTGAAAATAAGAATAAAAATCTTTGGGGAGTTCCTAATTAGAAAGCGTCCTGGATTCAGAATCCTTACATTAATTTTAAGAAGCTAACTTCCCTTAGTCACCCTAAGCTATACTTCATGAACCTGTAAAATAGTCCCTTCTAGAGTATACCATTATAACGTTAAAAGATAACTAATAATTAGAGAACTCTCAAGATAAATAATTAAATGTAAAGTTCCTGGTAAAGACTAGCAATACCACAGAAATTAAGAGAAAAAGCTCTTTATCTGGGTTGAAAATTCAGGCAAGTTCATACAAGAGATGGGTCTTAAGCAGAATTTGAAGGGTAAGTAAAACTGGGATTGGCAGAGAAATGAGGAAAGGCCGATGGAATACATGAGCACAAATTTGACTATAAGCATAATACACATAGATAGAAATTTTTTTTTATTAATGCAGTTAAATAGTAACATACGGGAAATGCAGTGGTTACATAATGTATGAATCTGAAAACAATACGGAGAAGATTAGAATCAATGTAGCAAACACTTTTTAGGCTTTTGAGGTTAAAAATGTCTTAATAACGTGAGGCTTCCAATTACCAGTTGCATGAACCCAAATCGCCCCAGATTAAGAATAATCTCAAATTCCAAAAGTTCCCAGCAGAATAATACCAGAGCATACTCGTATACCACCCAACTGAGGTTAAGAACAAGAGTATAAAGAAGTCTAAGTAAAAGAGACAGAGAATGGTCAGTCAAAATTAGAACAAATAATTAGGAAGTGTTAGTCACTAAAAACTGAGAAGTTATGTAGTACAAAATACTCAAAAATTTTTTTAAATGCTAACCTCCAAAGAGTTGAGAAGTTCATCAGAAGGCTTCTTATTTATTAGCTTTTTTTTATATAGTTCTTTGTATTGCTTCATTTTTTTTCTGTGTTCTTTAATATGCTTCCATGACCACATCCGTAAGTGGGGGCAAACATTTACTTCAAGAATACCATGTATAGCATAAGCCCACCTAGTTAAAAAACAAAAAAAGAAACCCCACACTTAACATTCTCATCAACAGTATGAAACATAATTGATATGTTTTACTCTAACAACATGCATAACTATAATACAGAGACAGTGAAAATGGTATATTATCAGACCACTTGCTTTTTCCCAACCATATTTATTTTTGTAATAATATTACCTCTTTCCTAAGTGAACATTAGCTCTACAGAAAAACTATTAAAGTATTAGTTGGCAAACAGCACTTCAGTCTCCTGAAGAGTAATTAAAATAGTCAACTGAAAGAGTAATTAAAACTTCTAGAAACTATGCAAGAGCTTAATAACTGAAATAAGAGTTTTGAATTTCAAAACGGGGTAGACTTTATAGACCCCCCTAACCTTTTCAGGTTTAAAAATATAGATTTAATGTGTCTGATACAGAAAAAAAAATTTTTTAAAGACAGCATTGCTAGACAATAAACTGGGATAAAGTTTAATGATTTCAAAAATACAGTAAATGAATGACATTCTAGTATCTTCAGTTATAAATTCCACTATAAAGAATTCTGGAAGTTCATTAGCATAATAAGCAAAAACAGCTACATAAATTTGGTTTTTTTTTGTTTTTTTTAGCTGAGCCATCCTGCCACCTGTTGGTAGCTCAGCAGCTCAGCCCGGGTCAGGCATCAAACCACTGTTGCTCAGAGCTCAAACTCTTGAGCGAGCTCTTAACCAACTGAGCCACTTGGCCGACCCTATAAATTTCTAATCACATATCAAATTATAGTTTGTATCACCACTTCAGAGTATCTAAAAATTTCTTAAAAGTCAAGAAATTTACTTTTGTGCTATATTTTTTAAATCTTAAACAAAATTAGATCAAGTAATCCCACTTCTGGATTATTTATCTGAAAAAAATGAAAACACTAAATCAAAAAGATATATGCACCCCCATGTTCACTGTCATATAATCTACCAATAGCCAAGACATGGAAACAACCTAAGTGTTCATCGACAGAAGAATGAATGAAGAAAATGTGGTAATATATATATATATATAATGGAATATTATTCAGTCATTAAAAAAGTGAAATCTTGTTATTTGTGACAACATGAATGGAACTTGAGGGCATTATGCTAAGTGAAGCAAATCAGACAGAAAGACAAATACTGTATGATCTCACTTATATATGGAATCTTAAAAAAATAAAATAAAAAACTGAGCTCATAGATACAAGAGAACAGATTGGTGTTTGCCAGAGGCATGAGTGGGGGGGAGGGGTTCAAAATGGGTAAAGAGGTCAAAAGATATAAACTTCCAGTTACAAAATATAAAAGTCATAAGGGTGTAATGTACAGCACTGTGACCACCGATAATAATACTGAATTGCATATTTGAAGGTTGCTAAAATAGATCTTAAAAGTTCTTATCACAAGAAAAGAAATTTTTGTAGCTATATTGTGATGGATGTTAACTAGACTTATTGGGGTGATCATTTTGCAATACATACAAATACTGAATCATTATGTTGTACACCTGAAACTAATACAATGTTGTATGTTAATTACACTTCAATTTAAAATTTTTAAGACATTTTACCATTCTCTGGCATGCTGGTGAACAGGTGCATCAGGCTTGTATTTCCTATATGGCAGATTTTGTGTCATCATATCAACTGATTCAAGAAGCTCCATAACACTGAAATACTGAAAAATGAAAAAAATGAAGGCTCTTAAATGTTTCAGATTTTTTTTCTAAATGTTGGAGTTAAATTCTTGACATTTTCAAGGCAATTTTACCATGTAACATGCATTTTTGAAAAAAATTTAAAATTGTAGTTTGTTTTTATCAAACTTATAACTCAATTTAAAATACCATTTAAAAAAATCACCTGTGGTTTATTAAATTCAATTATTATGTCATGTAACTCAACATCCAGGTTAATCTTGGGGGAAGAAAAGTCAAAATCAGGTCGACGATTCATCTGAAGTTTGGCATTGGCAGATATAGGACGAAATACTGGAAAATAATACAAATTTTTAAAAAGTGAACTGAGTTATATTTCAAGAGTCTCAAATTACTAAAGAGATCAAGTAGAAAATGATGATTTTCATTTCTTATGTATCCTTTCTATAGTTCCCAGATTTCCACACCGCTATAATTTGATCAGATTAACTGTCACCTAACTGGAAGCAGATCCTTTGGTATTTTTCGTACCTACAATTCATATTGTCTTTGGAAAGTACAATAAAGGCTAACTGAACTCCCCCCTCAAGACACCAATGTAACCCTTAGAAGCAAGAATACTCACTGCAAGGCAAATAGTCCAATAAAATAGTTTTAATAACAGTACATAATTTTAAGGAATGAATGTACATTAGAAATGCTTAGGGGGAAAGAGATTATATTTAACCACTGACTTCTATTATGTGATTATAATTTCTAAATTTCTGATCAGTTTCTCTGTGACCATCGGTTCTCCCTTTTAGCTTGTAAAAGGAGAGAGAAGGGCCGGCAGAGTGGCACATTGGTTAAGAGCTGGCTTGGGATGCCAGAGGACACTGGTTAGGATCCCACATATGAGGGCCAGTGACACTGCCCTCTACAGCTAAGATGCTGAACAACAGCTCAACCTGGAGCTAGGGTGCCGTGAGTCGCCAGCGACGGCACAGGCTGTAGCCATTGCTGCAGTGAGTTGCCATGGGCTACCACGTGTAGCCAGCAGCCAGCGTGAG